CCGAGTACACGCGATTAACATCCACCATTTATATGAAAAAACAGAGGAACATATTACAACAAAATAAAAAAAAGAAAAGCATATTTAGTCTAATAACTTCATAGTTATTAAAAATTATAACATGTGCTCTGCCTCCACTGGCTATTAATACCAGCTACGTGGATGAAAGAGAAGCGCTGGGAACTCTTGGAGTCCTACTTATCCCCCACAGGTGGAATTCTCTTGAATGTATGTTTGAAAATGTTATATATAAGATTTCCGTATTTAGGCTGATATTTTGATGGAATTCACTATAAGCTTTTTTATTATTTATTAAAAAATAAAGTATTGCGAAGGTGATGTGTAACAAACTTAATGAAGGTTTACTTTATCTCAGCATAAACGATATTTGTAGTTCTTTCTTCCTCTGCATAAGTAATATTATAAACTGGGTTTCTCCGCTAACCGATTTGCTCATGTCAGCATATTCATCGGGAAAACGTTTATCGCGACCTCAATATGCATCAAGTTTTGTCTTGGCGCTCTATTTTTTGTGATTTTAAACGATAGTCACCGAAAGAATTGTAATAAGTGCCCAGAACCCGTCTCCCGTCCGTCAAAAGAGGCCTGTGTTAAATTTCTAAAACTGCATGATCACCACAATATTTTATCACAACACCTTTAGCTAGAATACATTTGGTCGCGAACCAGAAAATAACAACGACAATACAGATTTCTATTCGCTTTTTAATTAGAGAGGGTTTAGGTTTGGTAAAGGTCTGTTTACACTTGTCTCAGGAAATGTTTGATCTTTTACTGAAATTGGTTAGTTTTATATTTTAACTGTTCCTTTTCTTGGTTTTCCTCAGTTCTGTTTCTATAACCTTGGGACTCTAGACTAGCTGCATTCCTTAGGTAACAACCTCAGCCTTACACGAATGTTACCTTCAGTGTCTTGATATTCTGTCAAACAATAAAGACACCTTTAAAACGCCATCGGATCCCGATATATTAATATTGAAGAGGATCTTTCGGTGCATGCCAAGCAGCCACGAGTGTCGGCCAACAGCTCCTCTCGGCAGACCGGTTCGTAGTGAACATTGTGTAATCTGGAATCCGAGAACAGGGGGCCAAATAGATCTGTCCTAAACGTTCTTAGGAAATCAGGTGGAATTACCAGCTTTTTGTTCAATCTCTGTGTATCCAATGTATACGATTTTATAAAGAACCTACAATTTTCATTAGAAAAAAAGATTCTACATGTCCAATAGAATTTTTAAATATTATTAAGTCGCAAAAAAAAATATATATAATTTAATTCGTCGGATTCCCAGCAGTGCCTTTCACTTAATCTATTTCTTCGCGTAGAGATGAATTTTCATTTTAACTCAGTTTTTTTTTTTTTTCTTGTTTTTAAAATGGATTCTAACTGAAAATCATTGAGTATGTATGAAAAGTTCGATTGAAAAACATATTTAAAAAGTGGGATGAATAATAATGACGTGAAAAAAAAATCCATTGTTAAATGAGGACTTGTAAGATATCATTTATTTAGAATAACCACGGTTCAGTTTTTAAGCCTTCTAATCGATGAAGCATTATTAAAAAATAGTTGCTTAAAAACTGTCTTTGATGCTTCTTTTATCGCAAAGAATAATTTCAAGGTTTCGATTTATATCTTTAATTCAATGGTTATTTTGTGCCTAAATCTGACTGTTTTGAAGAGTGTCGGTGATTTAGGCAGTATCTTTGGGTCCAAAGATGTCCCGTGCTAGGTCCTATGGATAGTTCCTTCGTAGAGGAATATATGTTGCTTTAACTGATAATGACCATGCAGCAATCTGTTATTGTTGATTGCTCTTCTATAGCTTTCCCATAACTTTAGGGAAAGCCTTGTTTAAAACTTTGAAAACTTCATGTTTTTCTGGGCCTATTAGACTCATCGACCATCGTCTGTAATGTTGATTTATTCATACCGCACTCCCGTTATTAGATCAAGTTTAATTTTACCTTCTTGAGATATTTGCAGGAGATGTGAACTATTATAGCTGAGCTCGGTAATTATTTTAATCTTTAATGTCTTCCTTGCCTCCTGCTTTCATGGGACTTTTAACGTGTCTATCGCTACCTGGTTTTATTATAATATAAATCATATTTCCTTTCGGCCACTTCTGTAACTTTTCTCGGACATGTATTTTCATTTCGTTCATTCATTAAGTGTTATACGTGGTTAATGAATATAGATCTTCTTTAGCTGGGTTTATTCGAGATAGAAGACGATATCTCCCCATTGCCTTCCCTCCCCTTCTTCGCCTTTTCTGCCATACGAGTCCTTGTATTATTATTATCCTTGAGATAAGCAACTTATTATAAGTAGAGCGGGAAAGTAGAAATTCATTCCGTGGGTCTGCCGCGAAATAAATTTTAACCCATTTAGGCAGTAATCGAATCGGCTACGTTTCTCAATTCGAGGTTTTTACTGTTGTCATCTACACATATATTTGTTTATCGCAACACATTGGGAAATTCAGATTCCAAAGCTGAACGGGTTTGAAATATTTTTGTAACGAAGACTTTAGGACCGTGGACTTGTGGATACTAATTTATCATTGTAATCGTTGTGTTGGCCTGTCCTAAAGATTGTCAGGTTCTGTTATTGGTGTAATTGTTCCATTCTCACCCACTTGAGTGGATAAGTATCCATCCACCCCGGTCGCCCCCTCGAAGGACGTTGATAGATTGCGCCGGTTCGGGGGACCTGCATGGCATACATTTCCCCGGCTGTATCTAGCTACAATAAAGCTAGCGGATACATGAAGTAGATGTTCCGTGCAGCAGCAGCCCACATAACTCTCGGTTCAGATATGGGGCAAGAGATAGCGCTCTTTGAACCAAGGCCGTGTGTTCCAGATACAGCCCTGTTTGTATGCTTCGATAATCCCATCCTAATCTGATTATATGTACCTTTATAGTTCATTTTCATTGTTTTTGTTTTTAAATAAGAGTTATTTATTAGTGTTTGAAAGCTTATACAATTATTTTTAGTGTTAATTTTTCCAATCCTTAATGTATTTCCTTTATCTCCAAACAACGTGACTTGGAGCCATTTTAAAAAGAGGCTCTCATCTTCGTGCTTTTAGTCACGATTACTTTTTCTTATCTTCGGAAAAATGTGGGTAACATTGAAAGTGCATTGATAAATGTGTCTACTGCGTGTTGATAGGCCATGTATTAGTTAGTTATTGAATATCTACTTCGGGGTATATTCATTTATATTTGGGGTATGAGTGATTATAAAATACATTTGAGATCATATCCAAATAAATATTAAGCCTTATTGTTACTTTAATTAACATTCCTTTGTATTTTAAACATGGAACATTGTGGGGTCGTGATTGCAGTAAATTATAATTAGTAAACTATAATGTTGGCAAAAGTTGCTTTAATACCATCTTAAATAGTTATAGAAAAAGGAGATCAGCGGTAAATGTTTATCTTTTAGTCTACTGGGCACACAGCAACACTAGTCTAGTATGGAAATGAGTTATGGAAATCGAGAACATTCTAAGCTGTTGTTATCAATACGTAATATTAAACTGATATGATGGCTCGATCCTGTTTTGCATGCAAACATGCCAGTAATGTATGCTGTCGATACAGATCAGTCCCCCCTCCCTCCAGTACCGCTCCAAAATACCGCCCAAAAAGTTTTGTTGAGCATGAATTATTGCCGCCATTGTCCCTCATCGCCCAGCGGCCATTGTCCATTGAGTGTACTCGAGGGGGCGCCTCGGGCCAACTGTTGGAGGATACTAGGGGCCTCGTCTAGAGTGCTGCTGGCTGTTTGTCCTCGTTCTGTGCAGTATAGATCTGCCATCCAACCATACCATCGCACTTTGTATACTTTGCTCGTATCCTATAATCACCAACTCACTTATCAGTGTTTAGATAAAAGTTCATGAAGAAACTGCTTACCAGGGAGTGGCTTTGCTTAGTAAATCAGCCTCATCTTCTATTTCGAGGGTGGCAAGTGATTGTTTATTCCGTCTGTGGATTATTTACGCGTTAAGTGATTATTTACTGCGTGGATCAACACTGGATCTTGAGGATCCTCTTTCGTCTCACTCAGCATCTTTGAAGTGAGTCCTCTAAATAAAACGCTCGGTTGAGCGTAATATCGTTCAAATCACCTCCATCCACAATCCCGTTGACCTAGTATCAGTCCTTTCTCTAAATAGTACTGAACCAAAGACCTATCATGGGTCGTTGTGGTACCAGTTATTTTTTTTTCAAAAATAATATTTAATTTTCTAGAGTATTTCATAGTGAATAAGCAGGGCGTCATTAGTATCTAAAACGTCAAATAACAAACATGTAGAATATTTTAGTATTACTACATCTAAAATCAACAGTTTGAAAAATATAACAAACAACAGTATTATTAGTAGAATTAAACAGTTTTAAGAGCCCATTTACGTAATTCTGAACCCTCGCCCTAAACTCGCCCCCTGCCAACATAGGTATTTATCTCGCCCTAAGGTCGCCTCCTGCCAACTTAAGTATTTCCTCCGTCCACTATGAGACCTATTGACAGCCCACTTCCCTTTCAGATCGACCAAGACTCCCTCTGGAGAGCTGTTGAGGACCTCGCTACGAAGTTGTCTACGTCCTGGAGGCTTGCAATCTTGGACATCTTGTTGATAAAGTGCAGCATAATTATTGCAACATGATCTTTGTCACAATGGAAGAAATATTTTCCACGTTGGCTTAAAAGCGTTGCCTCATTATCTACCTGGCTCGTTGAAATCTATTGGCAACTATAAGGCAGATTTGAAATTCTTCGTGAAAAATACACTGATAATTTGTATTAATATATTTTCTTTTGTTTTCAAATTTGATTTATTTATTTTAAATGACTTTTTTGAAAACAAATTAATTCTATATTCTTCAATGTTAATAAAAATATATGGCACATGTGATAATCTAGCATTAGTTAATTTATAAAATATATAAATGACTTACATTGACTCGGTCAGCGATCGTTGACTGGTTGGTTGATGATTGGACACGCGGAATAGAGAGTAGAGACCTCTCGATATCTCGCCACCCATTGGTCGCTACGAAGAGGTGGGTGGCGCAGGTATCCATGGTTCCGGTAGTGTCCACGATCCAACAAAGTATTTCTCTTCATCTGTTTAATCAGTGTACTAAAATTTGTTTTGTTCAAGCTTCATGTTTCTTGTTTAATTTCGTTCAGTTTCAAATTCTCTTTTTATTATTTAAAAATGTACTATTTTTCATAATTTATTCGTAATATTTTCCGGAAATAATGTCCAAGGAAAACATGAAAGGTAATAAATGTTATTATCAGCTGTGGTAGTTTGTAGTGTTAACCGTAATAGGTTAGTAGCAAGTCCTGCCAGCGGTCAGTTTCAAAATGAAAGAGGTGCCCCCACAACGTGGTTGCCGACCTTTGCGCCGCACGGCCTGATTGCCGCAGTGCCGCACGGCCCAGCCCAGCCCAGCTGTAGCTCTAGTCTCGATGTGTACCCTTGGCTGCTATCGAAGGCCGGGTCACTGCTAAATATATATAGTCTCTTTATAAACAAATAGGTCCAGTGTTTGTCAGTGCTAGTCTGATCCGTTCGCCTTATGTTATGTGCCATGTTGGAGTACACAGAGTATGTCATTTCTCTTGTCACCGAGCATTTCGACAGGTAAGTCGCAAGCCTTCTATACCTCCTCATTCATCCTTATATAATCTTAGCCAAGTAGTTTGTATCATCAAGAATAGAAAAACATATTAATTATAACCTAGTTTAGACATTTTATTATTATCGATTGGAATCTATATTTACGATATAAGGTATAAATTTTCTGTTAGTGAACATGATATGCAGGTGGTGAAACTTGCTTTAGATAATACTTCTACGCCTAGCCTTGCTGTAGATATCGCGATAATCCCGGCCCTGTAGAAAGATCGAAGATAGGTTACGTGAGCTCTGAACTAAGTTAACAACGTGTGGCTTCGCCATGGAATTTTGATTTTCATCCTTTCATTGTATTTATTTATTCCGCTCCGCAATGTAATGTTACACGAAGATGTTTGTCAATGTAAGATGTATTTGAAGATATTTTATTATTTCGATCATGGTTGCGTGGGTGGTGATAGCAACGTATTTTCATGTTTTGCTATCGATATGAGAACTCATCGATTAATGGTGGCTTAGGTAATCTTTTCGAACTTAAAATTCTGCTCGGTATTTTTGTAGCGTTCTTTTACTTAAAGGAATTGATATTTTGGTATTACGTCTTAGTCTATACAGTTGGCGCTTTAATTCTAGCAGGCGCGAAAACCTTTCATACACTCTTGTTCCTTCATCTAAGTATTGTTTATGGACTGATGTTTCTTCCTATTCTAACATATTCTTCCGAGTCCTGCACCATCATGTCATACATTCCTTAGAGATCCGACACGGAATGAAGAGGAAAAAAACAGCCGATACAGAATTCCCTATACTACCATCAGAAACAATCTCGAGGTCAAACGGGTGGAGGTCGTACAAAAAAACAACTCGAGAAGTGGTCAAAAAGAACTCTGGATGGTTCGGAGCATTGTTGCAAAGAAGATCTATGAGATTATCATGCAGGAAATAAAGAACACTTTGAGGATATCCTGGAAAGAAGATGTGGGGGATCCTTTCCAGAAGTGAGATGGTTATGAAATAGGAGAAGAGTGCTGGATCAAGAGAAGTCTTCCTGGCCCAAGATACTACAAAAGGGAAACTCATATTGCTTGGTAAAAGAGAAAATAGATTAATAATGATAATTAATAATTCGGATACTACAAGTACGATATTCGGAGATATCTAGGGCTAGAGTACTATTGCATGGTGGAGAAAATCTGTGAATAATTCCTTTTAGAAACTGTTTAATCAATATCTGATGATAAGGAGACAAGAATGTTAGGATGGGCGGGGCATGTAGACTAGAGCTATCCGGTCTACGTAAACCGAGCTAATTGCAGCAAAATGGAAACCTCCAGACAGCCAGAGCTAAGTGCAGCAAACTGGAAGGCTCCAGACAGCCAGAGCTAGGCGCAGCAAACTGGAAGGCTCCAGATGAGGTGGAGAAGGCTGGTCCAGCAGGCCAAAGACCTACGAAGTCTATTGAGCCAACAGGGAAAATAAAATAATAATAATAATAATGATAACTGACTGACATTTTGGCTGAGTGCTGGATCTTGGGCGTCGGGTTCTGTTCTCCGATATCTGATCCTGAGGTTTTGATAAGGGAACCGTCCACTAAAGCCAGTTTGTCAAGTTTTCAGTTTATTTTCTTTTAGACCAGGAGTATGGAAAGGTTTCCGCTCGAGGGCCATCGTTTGTTATGAAAAAAAAAAGCTGGTTCTATAAATGACATTGCAGTTAGTAAATGGTCTTTCTATGGAGCAACAACTCGTGCAACGAATTTTGCAGAAACTTCGTGTTTGAGTTATTTAGTAAATTTCATATTTTTTAAATTTTTTCTATACAATCGAGGAAATTCACGCGTGCCGGACTGGGGGGGTCCTTGTTTGAAGACCCCTGTTTTAGATTTTTACGTTACTCTCAGTTTTATTATAAATATCAGAACCCTCTTTCGGCCTCTCCAAGATACTCTTTCTCTCTACTCTCTATGCTCTCTATACTCTCTATGCTAGTTCTCTTATCTTGGAACATTTGATGCCTACTTGAGAAGTGAAATAGCTTAAAGTTAAGACGAGGCTAGCTCGCTAGCGTAACCTCCACTGATGAGATGTTTCTTGAGTAGCTTACCCTTGATAATCAACTTTACCGAAATGGCTAAAAGATGTTTTTGTAGGGTCCTCGAGCCAGAGCACGAAGAGGACGATGACCCCTGGGACTATTCAAGGTAACAAGTACTGTTTAACTTAAAGTTGTTAAGAATAGAGAGCCTTTCGAATCGCTGTAATCATTATTATATAGTATGTAATCATTTCTGTAAACATGTGTTAATGTTTAGTTGTGGAACAGGTGGCAAACCAATAACAATGGGGTTTTAAAATTAATCGATAAATTCGATTCTTGCAGATGATTCAGTTAATTTTAATTTATTTCCATTCGCAATAATCCTAGGAAAGAATAGATCATTCTGATAATTATAATATTAGGCCCTAAAAATATTAATTTACATAACTACACCAGTGAAATTAAAATATTTTTTATAATTTAATAAACGTTGATTGGCAATGCCACCGAGATCGCAAATGACCTCTTCAAGCTGAATGAAGCCCTTTATGATTATGTTCCAGCGATCGTGAACATAATTCGCTCTCTTTATAACAAAAAAATTGGGAATATACTTTTTTTGACGAAAATGTTTGAATTTTCTAGTGCATTGTATTATATGTATATCTATATTTTTATTTTTTTTATTTGTTGTCTTGTACAGTCCTTTCACCATTGTTAACACTGTTGTCCCATTTCTAAGATAACTTTGTCAGTGCAGTTGTATACTGTTATTTTTTGTTTTTTTCAGCATAAAAAAGTTTACTGAATTGCCATTTCCCCCTACATTGTGAAAAAAGAAATCATGATAAAAGGTTTCCCGATCGGCATTACATAATTTCATGTACTGAGAAAATAAAAATAAATAATTTTAGTGATCAATTCGACTGTGTCTAAATAATATTTTTCATGTTGTTTATTTTTATCTTGTTTACTTTGTTGTCAATGTATCTCCTTTTTTTTTTTTTATTTGCGTCCTTGTTTACTATACATGAAAATAAATTAACTTTAATCTATTTTAGTTTCATGAATATTGCGATGTTGTTAGATGTTTGTTTACTGTGATTTCGTAAAATTACTTATTCACTTCATATTAATTCTATTCGTTCCATCTTTTTCATTGATTGATTTTTCGTACAGTTTTAAATCATAGTGAACAAGTTAATAACGTAATGTAATGGAAGTAATTGGTTTGTGATTCAGACGGAAAATCCACCAATGAAGAAAATAAAAAAGTTATCTTCCAATGGAAAATTTTAATTTCGTTTAATACTATTTTAATTAGAATTATTCTTTCTATTTGTCATTTCCATTTTTAGATTTATTATCATCTTATCCCATTTTAACTATGCCTGGCTAAACGTTTTCTTCAAATAAGCTGAGCTGGTCATTACGGGAAGTACTCGCTTCTGCCATCTTGAAAGACATTTTCAATGCACATTCGCCACATTTCTCGTGTTCTAAGTTTTAAAATATAACTTTGTACAAGATGTTTTATAACGATTTCGTTTTTAAATTTTAATGCACAACTATAGATTGTTGTTTCTTTATTCTGGCGGCGATTTAGTAAAGACAACAGACTTCTGAAAGAAAAATTTAGGTTGAAGCGGGGTTATCGAGCGGGTTAACACTTTGCATGGTAACCTAAAGATTATGAATTTGAGTTCCGGTATCGGTGGTGTTGAACTTTGGCACCAATCCCCCCTCCATCTTCAATGGCGAGGAGAATAGAAAAAATAAGTTTGTGCTTAATATTCCATCATTTTTTAAAATTACGAAATAAGTAATTATTTCCCCAAACATATATCAAACAAATGCTCTTCTCCAAACCCTTCTGTTTTGAAAGGTGCCATTTCATTGATAGTATCAGCCATTTTATTTTTCGAGGTCTATACTTAATCTTTTCTTAATCAAACTATTGCTGAATGATTGCCCGAAAACTGGCCCACTTATCCAGAAATATTAAATGAATCAACTAGCGGAACTGATGAAGAGTAATTGAGCTATCTGAACCCGATAATCTGAAGAGGAAACGGAAAGCGGCTTTAAGAAGATGATGTTGTGATGGATAGAAGATCATTGTGTGTGTAATTGGGCAGGAACAGCGAGGTCGTGTTGCGAGCAATTTAGTTTTTATTTAAGAATGTATTCTCCGGTCTTTGTAGGTTTAGAATAACATTAAAAAAAAAAAAATGTTATTTTCCTCTTCAAATTAATAAAATAATTATAATCATTTTAAGGAAGAGAACTTTTCGCTCCAATATAAAAAATGTATTTGGGCAAAAGTTTAATGTAATTTATTGAACTGGAGCAAACGTTAGCGGTAATAAATACTAGACATCAGATGGAATGATTACATTTATTTTTGTAATGATGTTTTCTCTAATTCCATTTGTCAAAATTAGAACCTGGATTCTCTTTTGGCATCCTGTTTAATCTTATATTTATTCTTATTTACTCCATTACCATTTCATGATAATTTATTTATTCTGTTTTATAAGTTCACTCCAGAATGTGGAGCTCTTGGGATCTCGAAACCCAACTGGAAGAGACCCAGGCTATTTAAAGCGAGTACTTGAACCTGAAGGAAACCTTATGGTCGAGGATGGTTCTAGGCAGATAGGCACGACCTCCTCGTGTATTATTTGGTCAAAAACAACACTTTATCATCATGTGACCAAAGGCTGTCCTTTCATGGTCAATTTATATACCTCTATTTTGAGGATTTTGTAGAGTAAAAAATAATTATAGACAAAATAGATACACCAGATGAGCCATAAGACCAACCGATGGCCAGTAATCGGATACTTGACCCCTATTATAAACAGAGTGGCATATCGGATACGAGAATAGAATCGAAATTTTATCCGAGCTAGGTAAAACTGGACAGCCTTGGTCGTATCGATAATATCTGCTGCCGCTATCGAGTTGGTGTTACGGCCATTTATATCCTCTTACATTGAGGTATTTATTGACGCTCCTTTCCATCTATATTATCTAATAAAGGTGTGAATATTTATAGTAAACTACGCTTAAAGATTTTTTTAAAATATTAACTTAAACATTTTTGTGTATCTTTTTTGGCTTATGGGAGGATATCAAAATACAATAGCCTTTTAGCAAGTTATCCAATGTTCTGTTATGAGATAGAACGCATATGATATCATCATTAATTATGTTAATCATCAGATACTGGATGCCATGATATATTTTTTATATTCCTCACCTACGAAGGCCAATGACGCCAAAACATATTTTATTTATTTACTTTTTGCTAGTTACGAGCTATCACTATTTTAGTCATATTTACTTATTGTTAGCTAAACTAGTGAACGTATACTTTTAATGAGAAGTGTCAAACACAACCAGACATTCAACTATTGTCAATGTTATTTAGATATTTACTTAGGGGGCCACATTCCTACTTCCACTTGTTCTTCATACCAACCTCTGGCTGCTACTAACGAGAGTGGGAGTGGTAAGATTCACTTCTCGTAGCGGCCGAGAAATAAACAAGTAGCGACTCAGGTAGAAATCCAACCTGGTACGTTGAAGCCCCAACGTGCTCTACCATCACGTTCTTTGATGCAGTAATTTTATAACCTACATCAAACTCTAAAACACACTTTGAACCCAGATGAAGACCATGAATAACTGTCAAATTAAGATAGAAAAATTCAAAACTGACTTGCCGACCGCACGCCAATTCAGGCAGGTTCAGCTGTGCTGGATGTGCTGCATAAATAGCTTCGTTAGAGATTTATTTTTATGCTTTTACGACCGCTACGGTGATCAGTTAATACTATTTAGCGTGTTGGCGAGGAGCAGGACTCATTTACTTCAAGCACGAGCACTCTTGTATTTTGTAAATATAATATAGTTTTTTTTTTTTTTTACTAAATGCAAATATAACTCCACCCCGCCGACCTCGGTTTTATTATTATTAGCTCACTAATTGCCAGAGGCGGAAGACCGTTATAGCACCCGCCCACGGGAGTGGAATTGGATGGCCACTTCCTTGCGATCTCGGCTCTCACGATCTCAGATCATGTTGGCACCTTGCGACAGGCTCCCACTGCCTCCTGGCTCTAGTAGCTGCTAATGGCAACTGCTCTAATTAAGGTGAAATGGCTGCCTTATCAACTGTTATAATATTTCAGAAAAAACTTTTTAATTTACTTTCCGAGATAAATAGGTTTAATCTTTGACCTAACCATTCTGATTTGAAGAATATCCCCACATATATTATTACAGTAAGGCTCGAAATCGGTTTTGTACCAAATATAAGCTCCTGTCATGCTCAAATACCATGAATGGTGTAATTTCACGGGGGGTTAGCGAATCGTGACTCCACTTTTGTTTTTCTTTCTAAAATAAATAAAGTCGATACAAACATTTTGCTATCCTTCAATACTGGAACGGAGGTAGGTCTGTAGATCGAAACGGGACAAATTGGATCTTGAAGATTTTGATGCGTACAGCAAGACCTGGATAGTTCATCCGGAACTATCGGATCCTGTGCTTTTAAGCCCAAAAACGTACTATTTTCGAGATAACGCAAGGCATGGGGTTCGCATCCACATAACATTATATTTATTGTAGTACTGTCATTGAATAGATGTATCATTTCGTCGACTTGAGGCCTCTATGATCGAGAGAGGAGGAGTTTATTCATCGATGGTGTTTTTGATCGAGAAGCTATATCATCGTTAATTCTTCACCAAATATCAAGATTGGGCCACCAGGCCGAGAAGGCTTCCTTCTCCTTCAGGCTTCTCAATCAATCCGGAAATTCAGGCAAACAAATTATGAAAGAAAACAAACTTTATTTGCGAATAACTAAAAAATTACCAACTTTTCCCTTGGTTGTGCCTATGATTATATAAAAGATTACTAAATTCCCTTTAAAAGGAAAAAAAAAATCATGTTGGTTCAAAACAAAAATGAAGATTTAAATTAATTTTTGTTTGCTTTGTGGATTATATTTATCGATAAAGTAACATTTGATTAATCTTTTGATACTTTGCATTATTTTTTTTTCTTATTAATTTGGCATTTGATAACTATATGCTGTGCGATTTTTTTCGCACGGGCCTACTAGTATATTAATAATTACAATAAACTTGGATAAATAATTGAAAGTTGTTAGTTTCTTGGAAACCAAGATTATATTCCATTTCTGTACTAGCCTTTACCAACAGTTTGTTTCGCGTTCAATTTGGATTGTATCCTCCAGTTCCAGACTCGTGCTAAGCTTGTATGGTAAGTACGTCTCTCAGCTGACAGAAAGGGCCTTCAGTTTGATGGCTTTATGTTAACGATCTCGTTTACTGTTCAATGAACACTTTTATTTCAGCGAGTGATATAGATAATAAATAAATAGTGGGTTCCTCCTCTGTAATGTTGGAAGTATCCGCGATGCTTTTCGCAGCTCGCCGCAGTTCTAAAGATTGTTGGCTGTTCCTAACACTGCTCCGTTCCTATTGGTCGTCGAGGTATATGGTGTTATGATCCACGACCTCAATACACGGATCACCTAATGCCAAAATATTCTTTCTAAGCAGGTTGGTTTTTCTAAAAGTAAGCCATTCCAATCAATAAACTCGTTATATTGAATATTTAATAGTTGACCGTTGCATTATAAAGGAAGGAGATGGTCCGTAAAAAGGCTAAATAGTGGCAAAACTATTTTATTAAAAGCCAACGTTTCGACCCGACTTAGCAGGTCTTTTCCAGGGAGGTGTTCAGCTAGGAGTTTCACTTAGAACTTGAGTTAAAAAAAAATATTTACAAATCGTTACAAAAGGTCGCCCGAAGAGACACTGGTATGAGGGCGTAAATGAAGGAATGATGAACATGCGTGAAAAATATGGCAAAAACTTATATTTTCTGACGAGATGCGACCAACGTTGTAAAGAATCGTGAAATAAATAGATTAACTTTCTTTATTTTAAGCTTTGTAAAGAAGTATTCCAATTGCACGGATCCAACTGTTTCCATTTTTTTTTTTTTAAAATAGCTTTTTATCTTTTTTTTTAAAAGCTTTTTATTTTTTATTTTGTACCCAACTCTACGTTAATTTTTCGTCAAATCCATTAATTGAGTTAATTATTTTATTTTCTTGTGGTGCGAGAACAGCAAATTCCTTTTAAAAAGTTATGAAGGGAACAAAACTTATTTGCTTATCTTGGATTATACTCATGATGATCTGAAAACTCTAAAAATTCTTTACAAAACATGAAGATGAAGAAAAACGTAATTTGTACTCGTCCTATGGTTGATTATTTTGAATGTACCATTGTAATCTAACAAAAAAAAAAAAAATCTTACTGCCTTTGATTATACATAGCATCATTTCGATGTTACATACCATTAGATTTGTTCACTGATGGTTATAACATGCGAATTATTCGCAGTGCCCAACTAGTCTGTTTTTAATCTCTTCAATATAAAACTCCACTTTCATTTCAAATTAAATGTTGTCATTTGTTAAAATTAAAATTATTTTGTTACCCCTATAAAAATACATTGTTATTGCATTTTTTTTTATTTTAACATGTTTAATTCTATCGTAGTTTGGTTAAGTGCTAACCAACTTAGCAGTTGTTATTTTCATGTTATTGTAAAATATGAAATGTTATTGCCTCATTGTAATAGTCGGATTTAACGTTAATAAAATAATTGCGTGTCAGTTATTTGTTTCTAATTATTTATTTATTATTTAATAATTTATTGAGACGTGGTTCCTGGTGAGGTTTCAATATGAGATGGGAGTATATTTAGCGACAGTTATCAATATCGTGCGCACCGAAATCAGTGACCCCTCGGGACTCCCTCAACCCGAAACTAACAACCTCAATCCGCCCTGCTCCACTTGCTGGCTCATTCTCTGCAATCTTGCTTTAAAGTAAATTTATTCATCTATCCTTTTGGAAATTTGTCATTCTCTTCGGTAGTCCTGTTTTCCCTGTTATAGATCCTAGGCTTATCTTTGAGAAAATGAAGGAATTTCGTCCATTTACTCTTACCTTTTTTCGAGATGGTGATTCTATATTATTATTGTATATAGTTTGTGTTTGTCTTACTTTTTATCAAATAATTCATGAAGCGGAACGAAGCTGCTTGCAATGACCGAATTGATGGACAGCACAGCTTTCTGCCTTACCTTTCGAAAGAACCAACCAATCAGTAGCTTCCACGGAGGAGATTGGTGTCAGCTGACTCTATTTTCACTTCAGTCACCTGTTGATTAAGTTTTAAAGTATCGTCACGCCTTATCTTGTATTCTCAATGTTACACTGTTATATATCGTCGGCACCATGTTAAAGAAATGAATGTTAACCTGCCCAATGTTGCACATTCGTTACTTTAATATGGTGGCGACGATATTATAATGTTACATGTTAATAAACTGATATGTTGAACAACGAATTAGCTGCTCAATAATATTTTAACTTTCGTGATTTTTTTTTTGTAATAATATAAAGTAAGGCTGTGTTATTTTTTTTACTTCATATTTATTTCATTTTTACATGGGCTACGTTTCGGCTGGTAAACCGTTTTCAAGCCATTTTATTTAATCATGCTTCTTACGTGTAGTCCATAATTGTACTAAAGTAAAGTGTTCCGAAACGTAGCCGATGTAAAAATGAAATAAAGGTGGTGAAGTGAAAAAAAAAAAAAAGCCTTTATATCATTATAAAATGTTTCACCTAAAACAAATAAGATTTTTTGTTTTGTTTTATTACTTCTTCTGGCAGCTATTAATTCTTTTTCACCAATTTCCTATATTTTGTAACTAAATATAAAATGTTAAAAATATTTTTTTTTTAATGTTTTACAATCCTAATCGAATAAGTAAATAGCCTCTGCAAAATTTTTAATTTGATTTTCACCCAATATTTTAATAAAGTTTTATATATTTATTTTAGTCCTCCCTTGCCTTTCAGTAACACGGATTTATGGTACAAGTATCGCGATACATTTACCACTTATTCTCTGCCCCTTCGCAGAGAAGATTGGAATGATCGGGGGTGATGACCATCCCCTCCCCCCTCCTCTCCCAGGTCGATGGCGCATGAACCTCCCCGGTCGAACCTCTCCCCTCGAGATATTGTATTGCTCTCCACATCTCAAAAAATTAGAAAGTACCGTAAATAACATACAATTACACTTGCTAAGGTTTGTTCCATATATTCCCTTTGTCTCCTTGTTTGAAACATTTCAATCCTAAAATTCATAACTTCGTTGAAATGTACTCTTCTCAAAAATTCATAATCCCGTCGAAATGCGCCCTCCTCAAAAATTGTGATGCCGCAACTGCCATGAAACCCCCTTGTGGGCACCCCTGGAAATGATCACTCCCCCCCCCCCTCATCCCCCATCCTCTAATTCCTTCACTCCGGGGTCTACACACTAAGGGTAGTTATCCTTGCTTACTAATAATGAGAAATCGTCCTCCGTCATGATTAAGGTTTTTTTATATATTATATATCCTTTGTCCTTCTTGCCTTCTTACATTTGATTAATATAGGATAGAAATAAAGCCTATTAGGATTTTAAAATATTTTCAGTTGTGTTGAGTTCTACATTTTAACAATAAAATACAATTTCAAATTACATTGTTTGTAATAATTAACATTATATTATTATGCAAGATATAAAGCCACATCTTCAAATTTTTAATAAGGTTCTTCGGGGAGGGGAGGGGAGAGGGCTTAAAGTTTGGCGTAGTTCTACAAAATTACAATTTACCCCTTTGTTGAAGCACTTAATATTGGGCTTGTATTTTTAATGTTGTATATATTCGATTATATATTTGTTTGTAGTAATAATATAAACAAGCTACAGGACATTATCACGAGTTGGCTGCAGCTGAACGTTTTTAAAATACACGAGAAAGATTCCTTTGAAGATATTTCAGAGTGGCTTTTGATAGCTTGGGTTCATAACGGTTCAGAAATATCTTCACTCTCGTTTAGGTTCCATCGCTAGTCCTATATTATCTATCAGGTAAGAATATATTACGATCATGTTAAACTATCTCAAGAATTATTAGTTCTTTTGTAAATTATCCCGTCACCAGACTAAACTGGTGGATGACCGAACTATTCCAAAATATCGATAAATAGAACAATTCCAATAAGTTTCTGTTGTTGATAATTAATTATTCCATTCTCAAACAAATTCTCCTCAATGTTTGTTAAACTGTTGGAGGAAGAAAGGTTCTAAGAAGAGCCTCTTTAATAAGCTAGTCCCTGAAGTGAATAACTGTTATATTAGCGACCTGCCTGGATTGTATTATCTCCAGCTAGGTTAAAAGGCTTCTAGTCCGTAATCCGGCCAAAAATTATTTACACTTCAATATTAGAGTAAAATAATTAAATGAGTGGCCCATGTTTTAAAGACTAGATCTTAAATTAGCAGTATCTTGTTTTACTTTTTTTTTTTTTTTTTTTTTAAATGTAATCCCTTTTGGAAAAATAAAAATAAAACAAGATACTACTAATTTCAAATTTAAAATCTAATCTTTAAAACCTAGGCCGTTTATTTAAATTTGAAATTAGTAGTATCTTGTTTTATCTTATTTTTCCAAAAGGGATTACATCATTGTGCGTTATAGAAATCTTTATAATTATTATGATTACATTTGCTTGAATGAAAAACCAATTCATAATTAATCACTTATTTTTTTAATTTGATCGCCTTTGCAAATTATTTACCAGAATTTTGAATGGTTTAAAATTACTCTACGACTTTTTGATCTTCGTTTGGAAGGTGACATTTTGTCGTGGTATTATGGCAATAGCTGCAGTGTATTCGTGTGCGCTCTGTCGGTAAACCTTGTGAGTCAGGTGGAACAGCTGACGTCATGATTATTTCATCAAGACCAACTCATTTACGTAAAACAAAATTCTAAATACGAAAGTGATAGAGTGCACAATAAATAATGAAACACATAAATATACAATTTTTATCTTTTATCTAAGAATCCAATGGCGAATATTTGTTACCACATTATTACCGTATTACCACAGTCTACATCTACACGTGGCAGTAAATGTGAATACAGCTGTCCCCCGTGATAGGTACTGTCGACTAGAGTTGCTTCACTATGGTAAATGTCATATTATCGTACAGTTAATTATTAAAAGTAGGCGGGACAGTAACTGTCGTGGAACCTACAGCTTAAAGACTTAGTGTAGCTAGCTCGTGTAAACAGGTTTTAACAGATCAACCTCCACTTGATTGATCTACTAACAATCGATTCTCTTTTCTATTTTAAATTCCGAGTTGGTCCTGCTGGGGTCAGTTTGTTTTTCCAGTTAATGAGTGGCCCCTTAATCACTGGCAATGAGCAACTCCTCTGGCATGAGTAATCGATTGTAGGGGTCCATGGTCGATAATGACAGGTCTCCTTTCTGGGTGGCTGTTATTGTAATTTTATGGCGCCTAATGAGAAGAAGCTGAGCTAATAACATTTGGTTCGAATTAATTCGCTCAGGGCAATCTGATTACATGTCATAAAGTTAGGATAACGTTTATTAAACAAGTTGAATTGATCTATTGACCCGGCAGGAATTATGGAGTTGAACGAAGAGGAAACGAGATCACACCAAAGCCTTCTTTTCGCCTTCTATCTTATCAATTATATTATATATTAAATTTATCTACTCTTATCTTCCCAACATCTTTAAACAGTGATTTAATTCTTTATATCTTTGACAGTTGGGTGATTATTGTATTATATATCTCGTGGGTTTCATATTACTGATTGTAAGTTATACAATCTTCTCAATCATAATGATAATTATTAATTAACATTGTTTACCTTTTTCGAATAGTTTTTGAACGAACGTGAAGAATTAATATAGCAATTATCGTACTCTTAGTGAAAATAATAAATATTTATATTTTTTTTTTATCAGTTCCTAAGGATACGTTCTGAAGGGGTTATGAGAGATGGGAATTGTTGAGGGCTTGGAGGATTGGGATATGGTTTTTCTAGTTGACGGGTTTGGCTATTTTTCTGTTCGAGTCCAGTTATTTGCCCCAGACTGAACTAGCCTCGGGTTTTTGCATGAGTTTGCAAATAGTTGGCCTTAGGGGTCAATGCCCTCGTGTTTACTTTTTTCAATTTTTCAAGGTTTTCTCCAGATCGGATCATTAGTTTTTGAAATTGGGTCGTTCTAAAGGAAATTTTGATTAAATATACAATATGTATATACAAATATACAAATAAAAAATAGGACATATCGTGAGTCTATTATGGCTAAATCATTCTGGAAGCGTGGAGACTTCAAATTTGTTTAAAACTAATTCAATAATTTTCGTGATCTGTTACAAATGTTGTGTGATTTTATGCATAGAGATGTGTACCTTTGTAATTTTTTTTTTTCCTGTTTCTTCTATTTCTTAGTTTATTTGTATTATTTTGAATATTGATAGTTGACCGTTGCATTATAAAGGAAGGAGATGGTCCGGGATGGCGGTCATAAATAGGCCAAATAGTGGTAAAACTATTTTATTAAGAGCCAACGTTTCGACCCGACTTTGCAGGTCTTCTTCAGGGCTAGAACGGACAAGATATAAACAGATAAAGAATTGTGGAAGTTACATAATATTCAGAAAAAAAATTATAAACAAGCTATTAGCTGTTTATAATTTTTTGTTGAAGAAGCTGTTAGCTGTTTATAATTTTTTGTCTAAATATGATGTAATTTCCACAATTCTCTGTATCTTTCTGTTTGTATCTTGTCCGTTCTAGCCCTGAAGAAGGCCTGCAAAGTTGGGTCGAAACGTTGGCTTTTAATAAAAATAGTTTTTATTAAACTATTTTATTATATTTTAACTATTTAGACTATTTATGACCGCCACCCCGTACCATCTTCTTCCTTTATTTTTATTATTGTTTTAGCTTGGTTGATTTTAAGGGATAAATATTTTTGGCATTTTTAATAAGAGCAAATTGGTATTCAAAATTCTAAAAAATACAAATAGTAAGTTGGACGTAAGTGGTAAGTTATAAGTAGTTTTTACTTACTTTCTACCGACCAGGCTAGGATTCCTTAACTAGCTTAGCTTAATACCATCCCGTTTTATAAAATACTGTGTGTAAAGGCCCACTAGCTTTGGCGATTAGCGGCCAGTCCTTTTATATAATCGAGCGACGTATGTTTACTAATTGAGTATGCGCCCCTGACTAAGTATCTCGTAAGCAGGTTAGATTCAGTATTAGTTGATAACAAGCTTCTACTAAGTTGACTCCTTTTTTTTCTTCTATGATGAAATTGAAACAAATCATTTCCCATTTTCTTGTAACTTTAGTAATAATAACAGAATAACAGAGTGCATCGAAAATGGAGAGTAGTTAGCTGATTATGAAGATGTCCAAAGGAAAAGAAATGGTGTACAATTAATGGAGAACAGCAGACTGAAGAATCGTCAGAGAAAATATAAAAATAAGAAGAAAATAGTCCTGGAAGAGGCCAATCGCATGCTTGGAATTCGAAAGGAACTCTCTTGAGAGCTACGATGGTCACGCTTGAGGCCTTCTTATCTAGATAGCATTGATCAATCATGCTTCCTCTATTTTGTGGAATCTGGATTTGTTCCTGTTGTTATGAATTGTTTATTATTAACAAAGCTACTGCAGTTAATTTTATTGATTTACCTAAAACCTATTTTCTAATGTAGATAAAAGCTGTAAGTTAAAAGTAAATTCCTCTAATTTATGAAAATGACTCTAAAAGACTGTTTTGCTGAAATGTGACAAAAAAAGTTACATTGTGCAATTCATCTTTGTCTCACGCCTGTAAAAAAAAATTGAACAGAAAATATAGTCCATGAAGTGAAAATTATCGAGTTTTATTCATCTTGTGAATATTTTTAGATTTTGCTCTCACAGGCCTTTAAAGTGTGGCTGTCGATATACATAGAACTAGTGTTGCCCTAAGACCAACAACGCCTATCTGTTGCAAGACCAAGACCAAGACTGGTAAAAAAAATCAATTTTTTTAATGAAAATTGAGGCAAAA